AGAAAAAAAAAAATGGTTTTTTTCTGCAGCTACATATATGGAGAGAATAGGGGTGTGTGTGTGTATGCATGCAGACACACCTGTATATATCTCTATATATACATAGTATTTATATATGTGTGTTTATATATATTAAAATTGTAAYGTAATTCAAGTCAGAAGGAACCTCAAGAAGTTGTTAGATCCACTACCCTGCTCAAACCTTGGCTAACTTCAATATTAGATCAGGTTGCTCTAGGCCCTGCTTAAAGTGTCACGGTAAGTGAGACTGATACTTAAAAACGACTCACAGCTGAAATAGTGGAATTAATTATAGCTGCCCGTAGTCATTTTCTATTTAATAGCCAAGAGTTGTTTTCCTTAAAACAGTAAGGCATTGTCTTGCCACAATTACTGTTTGAAAAAAGAAACTGCCCTTAAGGCAAAGAGAGTTTCCATGGCTCAGAGTTGGAAGGCAAATGAGAGTCCCATATTCCACTCTATTACAACTGCTAAACATCACCGGACTGTTTGTGGTAGATAGAAATCAGACTGGAATTCATTGGAGCACAGGAGACTTGCAGTGTGCTGTGGCAGAACTGCCATGAAGCAGTCTGGCTTTTAGTTTAATTTATAAGTTCTATGTTATTTCTAGACCAACAATTTAAAGCAAATAAAGACTCTTAAGCCAAATAGGTCTTATGAAGGTATGTTGCTGAAAGGAGTTTAAAGCAAATACGACAATTTTTATAGATAAACATTCTTTTCTTAAATTCTCTTTTGTCAGGGAAAAAGTCTGGATAGAACCCCCCACCACCATTCAAACATTTTCATTTAGAAAGCAGTTACTTAAAGAATCTACTTACAGTACAAATAAAATTTCAAATTTAATCCCAGAATTGTTGCTATCTAAATGCACTAAATAGGAAGAAAAGATTGTGCAAGTAGAAGTTAACGATATGGAAAAGGAATTATATCAAAATAAGGTATTAGCCGCAGTACAGATTAAGGCATTCATTTAGTTCATAGTTTAGATGAAATGTAATATATTTTAAAGTACGTACTTAGGTTGTAGTTGGCTCTTCTTTCGCCTTTGGTGCAATTGCTCTCAGCTTCTTGATCTCTGCACTTCTTTGTGACTGGAACAGGAGAAGCCATACTAAGAGTATTTGTTTAGATAAACTCCTTAGGAAATACAGTATGTACCTTCAGAAAACTTCTAGTTGCAAACTCCTATTGAGAGCAGMTAAATCTGTCCTGGAGAAGATTCCTTCTCTTGATCAGAGAGTGACGCCAGYGTGGAAGTTGTGACTTCTTGCTACATGGAATCCCAGGACTGGTTAGTCTGGGCAGGAACAACTTCTGTGTGTGACTGAGTGATTTGCCACAGTATTTGTAACRCTCAATCCACCCCTTATGCTTTAGAACTAGCTGTTTTATGAGTTGGCTTRGTGTCTGTTTGCAGAGACATTCCAACTTTATCTGATGAAATGAATGCTAAACCCACAGAGGTAACCTTCTGTTCAATGTCCAGATACCATAAAAACCCAACCATTTTCATCAGAGTCAAAGTTCAGTTTGCCTAGCCTCTTCCCCCTCTTTTTTTTTTTCCCTCATACCTTTCTGAAAATCATACATGCCAGAATTTATTCTCTCAATGCTTGAGATGTTTGTTTAAATGTGCCTGGTTGGTTTGTGGTTTCTGCTTTTGCCCAGAAATAAAAAGCAGAAAGAGGATTGATTTAAAATAGAATTTCTTCCCTTGCATGCCGGAAGGAGCAGATTGAGTGAGAATATATATAAGGATGCGAGCTGAGGAAGTGCATGAGAGAGCAAAAATGAAGTTATTGAGGGACCATAATTGAGCCATGTGTATGAAAGACATCGTGGAGCAGGCAGCAATCAGGCATGAGATTAGTGAAATATCATGAGTGCATTGAATTTCTCTCCTGATTTGATATCTCTGTCCATAGGAGAAGTAACCCCGGGATTGTCCCAGGTGGAATATGCTCTTCGCCGGCACAAACTCATGTCACTGATCCAAAAGGAGGCCCACGGCCAGGACGGGCTGGACCACACCGTCATTCTGCTTTCCAACCCTACATACTACATGAGCAACGATATCCCCTACATTTTCCACCAGGACACGAACTTCCTGTACCTGTGCGGCTTCCAGGAGCCTGACAGCATCCTGGTGCTGCAGAGCATCCCCGGCAAAGCGCTGCCCTCCCACAAGGCCATCCTCTTTGTGCCCTCCAGAGATCCGAGCCGGGAGCTGTGGGACGGGCCCCGGTCAGGCCCGGATGGGGCAGTTGCTCTCACAGGAGTGGATGAGGCTTACACTGTGGAGGAGTTCAGGCACTTGGTAACCAAACTGAAAGGTAATRGAAACCAGGGGAGGGAATGAGACGAGGAATGGGGTGTAGGGTCTGTTAGAGGTTGAGAAACGGTCTGTGACTCCAGCTTAAACCTGGAAAAGAGCCTGGGGAGGTGCCAAGGTGTGGGACAGGATAGCACAGGAACCTGTAAGTTTTCTCCTTTATGCTCTTGCTGTTTGGCTTCAGAGGTGGGTTTTCTTTTCTTCCGCTAAGCACGTTAAAGCTCTGGGAAACAATTGTGCTACGTAGCTATAGGTGTCTTAACTTTAAATGCCGGATTTAGGAGCCTCTATTGCAGGCATCAGTGAAGAGGTGTCCTATTTAGGGGCTCTGAATTGCCCTGATGGGAGGCAATTAGTGACCGACTGTAGCAAAGATCTGGACTTAGGCACCTCAAGCTGCCCAGTGGTAATTCCCCATCTTCTACTCCACACAATCTTAATGAGAGTAATTGTTAATTTAGAGGTAATCTGCRCATGCTACAGGTTTGTTTTGCTGCTCCTCTCTGTTCTGTGTTKGGTCTGTTGGTGGAAAGTCTTGCTAGTCCAGTGCCGTTCCTGTGCATTGTGTTTACTTTAGAAACCCAGTGATGTGATAACAACTGTTCCTTCCACAGATTCTAGCAGCCCAGCACACATGTGGCCTGGGTGCTGCATACAGAAAGTCTTCTGTGAAAGATCACGTGTTAAACTATTTCCTCTCTTACTTTTCTCAAAGTAGCCTTCACTATATTGAATCCTGTTGTGTTTCATTTTTATTTGAGAACCACATTACCTTCATGAGGGGTTCACAAATGGAAATACATGCTTGAATATCTTAGGGATTTTTCCTCCTCTGAATTCCTTATATGCTCATGCATGTGCCAGTGGGCACATCTGAAATTTAAGCAGCAGAAGGAACATGAGTGAGAGGTTGGTGAACCTTGTTACTGTTTTTGCCATATCTTTTTTTTTTTTTTGCTGACAGAGCCACAACCAGATGCAGCACCGAAAACTTGCAGGAACTTCAAAATAAGCTTAATAATGACCCACACAGGGAAGTTGTTAGTCTTTTCACCCTTGTCAGCCAAATACTGACTTACTCCCTGAAATATGAAGGTTACTATCCTTTAGATCTGTTCTTCTGCATCTGACCTCACACCCTCACATTAGAGCCTCAATATTTATAATTAGGAATGATCTTAAAGGCATTATTACATKAATATGACAATTTATTACCTAAAAGCTTTCAATAATATAAAATGGGCAAGTGCTTGGGAAGTTACACAGATAAATGAGCAAATGCTGTAGTCTTAAATACCGTACCTGATTCGGGTTTTTTTTTGTTGGGTTTTTTTTTTTTTTTTTTTTTTTTTTTTTTTTTTGGTTGATTTGCTTCTTTTTTTAACATCCGAAAGGATATAGAAAATAGAAAAGGCAACAAGGATGCTGAAATTACAAAAAAGCTATTTCTTGAAAGGACAGATGGTAAACGAAAGTTTGACGGGGTAAACAGGGTGAGGTACGAGGGATATGTATATGATTATGAAAAGCATGGAGGAGATTAATAGGAATGATTAATCACTTTTTCATAATTTATAAACAAAGRGAACACAGAATAAAATGAGAAAGGGGCAGGTTTAAAATAAATGAATCACTTTTAAATTACATTTTAAGTTGTGGAACACGCATGATGGAATATCAAGAGTGTAAATGGAGTTAAAAATTGTTAGTACCACGAGGGAGAGAGCTGTGAAGAGCAGATAATGGTGCTGATGCAGCCTTGGAAAGAAATCTGAAAGTAGAGGAGGATTGCGAAGGGGCATGAAGTATATATATATATATATATATATATTTTTTTTTATAGACTGTTTGTGAGCATGTGATAATGGTTACTGTCAGCAAAAAAGAGAGCCTAAATGGACTTTTGCTGTGACTCAGCTGGGCTCTTCTACACTTTTTCATTAATGACCCTTCTGTGGGGGAAAATGTGAGTGCTAACCCTGCTGTTCTGAATAGATTTCAACATAGGTTTGTCCTCAGTGAGTTTGTCTTGCCTGAATGGCTGAAAGTAGCAATTCATGCCCCCAAATGCTCTCAAGAGTAATTGAGAATGCCCYGCTTTGCATGGGGGGGGTTGTTGTGGGTGAGAAGTAAACGGCTTTGCGCGTTGGAGGGCAGGCCAGGGAGGTGTTTGGAACATGCAACACTGCAGTGCAACATTTGGCCTGTCTTACACAAGTTCTGCTTTCTACAGGATACACAAGCTGAACCTATGTATTCAAGCTCACAGTGATGATGATGATTAAAAAAACCCACAGTATTTGCATATCAGTAAAGATTTGTCAAATTTACATGTCATCGTGCTGATCTTCCAGGCTTTGAAGGGATAATTAATAGCCTGTGATAGTGACAGCACGTAGTCTGGTGTGTGACCACACTGCAGATTCAGAAGAAACTAACTTTTCAAATGTAGCAGCAACTGATCTGGTTTAGGAGTGAGTTTGTTCAGTATCAGGAGATTCCTGCTTTAATCTTTGTGTGTGTCAGCTTTGTTTTTGTCTTGCAGGTGAGTCGAACATGATTTGGTACGACTTGGCCAAGCCAGTGCATACACAGCTACACTCTGACTACCTGCAGCCCTTGGCTGAGATGAAGGCTCGGAGCCAAAACCACATCCAGGGCGTCCGACGCCTTGTKCAGAACCTTCGACTGATCAAATCTCCTGCAGAGATTGAAAGGATGAAGATTGCAGGGCAGGTGACAGCAGAGGTATGGGGCCATGTGCTTGCCTAGTGAGCCAGTGCATTCCCTCAATCAAAGGGATGGTTTTGATAAGGTGGGCAAGACTGGAGCAGTAGCACTGGGCTAGTCTGTTAGTTACTTAACTGCTGGCTGTCAAAATTAGCCAGTCCCAGCTCCCTCCACGTTGAAAGAAGAAGCAGGATGACTGCATGGACTACCAGGTTCTGTCACTTAGCATGTTTCTAGCCAAACCAAGTCAGCAGCTGGTTGACTTTTGCTTATAAGCAGCATCTCTTCAGGAACAAGGGTGTCCTCTTGTACTCCTTGCCCAACTTCCCGTCTCCTCTTGCATGCTCTTKTCTTCCCCATTTATTCTGATATTTTCAAGGAAAGTGGATTTTTGTGAAAATGCTGCCTGCATATCTGTCAGTTCCTCCTCCCTTCTCAAGTACCTTTTGAACTTACTGGCCAATTAAAAAAAAAAAAAAAACACCCACAAACAAACAAAAAACCTCTGGCAGTGATTTCAAAGGTGATTATGTTTTTTAAATATTAAAATAACGGAATGACAGAATTAAAAACGGAATGACATATCGAGTACTTCTCTGAAGGGCAAGCTGCACAGTATGTTCTTGTTAGACAAAAGAAATTTCCCAGGTGAGAGAATTTGTAAAATGCTAATCCAGGGAATCAGCCTCAGTCATCTAAGCCTTTTCTTCAAGAGTCAGAGTCAGTTAGACCCTAAGTACAGTTCCATAGAGCTTTGTTGGTTCTAGTCTTTACAACACAGCATATTTTGAGCATCCTTTGATTCTTGTGCTCCGAGACAATTGATTTAGGCTTTACTCTTTTGAGTAAAGAGGGTTTTTTTTGTTTGATTGTTTTTTGTTTTGTTTTTTTTTTCCCCTCAAATTCAGGCCCCTACACTAACTGAAAGGCTTCTCTCTTTTTTTTTTTTCTTTTTTTTTTTTTTTTTTAGGCTCTCATAGAGACAATGTTTGCCAGCAAATCCCCAGTGGATGAAGCTTTCCTCTATGCAAAGGTCAGTATTTCATGATTGGAATTGGGACTGAAGATTTGGATGTTGTTTCTCCTTCCAGAAAGCGAAGTGTCAGATATCCCATAATGTGTCTGCCCCTATAGTACATTTCTCCTTCACCCAGTTCTTGTGCTTCCTTGGAGATGCCCCTAGCACTCCTCAGCCAAGAACTGCAGCCTTGTTTGGGCACCTCCTTTGAATTAAGTGAATGTTGCAGGAAGATTTTTTTACAGTAATGTCAGCAGATTTTAATGTAAGGACTTTTAATAATAAAAAGATAAATCAATAAAAATAACTTTGCTACCCCTGGAGTTAATACCTGTAGTAAACTCTTASTCTCACCTAGGCGCTGGCCACAAGGTTCAGTGTTCTACCACTGAAGATCTAATGTGGATCGAATTTCCTGGAGCTTTTTTATTTGTTACCCTTTCCTCCAAGGAGCAATATAGATGAAGCCAAAGGTCCAGGAAAGGTTATTGTGCATTTTAAAGAAACATATAGAAAAAGAAGAGAAAGTAACCAAAAAGTAATCTTGTTTTCTCAGCTCTCATTGTCTCAGAAAACCCCAGTGTTGCAGCAACTAGTCCCATACCTGGTAGCAGGAAGCTAAGTGAAGGCTTGGAATAAGAGAGCATACAACTTAGTCAAGGGATGTGGCAATCTGGGAGAAAAGGGGAGGAGAGTATGTGGTGTGGGAAAGAATGGGGGGAACAGGAGGCAATAAGTGGCAAAGAGAGATAAAAATTGCTAATTTYAAAAATGCTGGAAAGAGGAATTCACCGCACCTGTGTTTGGGTGAGCTGGGAGTCTGTCTCAGGGGCAAGATGTGGGTATACMTTGTCCAAGCAGATTGACAGCTCTGGAGGAGTGTCAGCCACCAAACAGAAAATCCTGAATTGCATTTAAGCTTTCAGGAGAGTTTTTCTACCATTTACCCTCACTCTGTTAAAGAGTCCAGAGAGTGTTGGGGTCTTTGTATATTTGGGCATGCAGGGAGTGTATTTATATCTGCGGTGAGTGTAACTTACTGTAGATGACAGAATTACCATTGATAAGAATTGACAAAAATGGTAAATTACCATTACATCTAGTGTTTGCTTTATACAATGTAGTGGAAAAGTTGATTCCTGTAAAGTGTATGAAACTCTTATCTGTTTAAGTAAAATGCAGCCTATTTTCTACTATCTATTCTATAAACTATCACTGAGATAAAGGTAACAGAAAAAAAAAAGCTGGAGGTGTAGAAAGATAACAGAAAAAAAAAAAAAAGCTGGAGCTGTAGAAGGGTTAGGGAAAAAAAAGCAAAATTTCCATTAATAAAGTGGGTCTTGTCTCTTCCTGTCACTATACATGACTTAGATATGTAAGACAAAAGTCTTCCATATAGAAAAGTAGGAAGTACCATTAAAATAGTGACAGGTTTACATAGTGGTTGGTTAGTTCACCTGCTACATCTGTGTTTTTCTACTGTACTCTATGTTTTTCTACCGTACAGAGTACCAGAGCCATCGTGAAGCAGAGTGTATTTACTGGAGTCTGTATAGACACCTCTCAGTTACAAAATGAGGACAAGCTTTTGTTGGCCAGCATGTTCTGTAGGGACTTTTTTAAGGAATTGCAAGGAGGTGACTGTTYCAATGACATCAGTAGGATTTGACCCTCTGTTCTGACACAGATGGGCCTGTGTTGACATGGCACTGAGCAGCGGTACTAACTTGTAAAGAAATTGATTTTAATAAAAATACATCTTACAGGTCAAATTTTCATTGCAAATTGTGATTGGAATCTTTAGTATAAACATGAGCATTCTGGGTGTTCTCATACAATTTTGTTTGGATTGCTGTTACCACTTCATTATAGTGGCAAAACAGATTTACTTTCATTAGAATCATAGAATCCTTAATGTTGGAAGGGACCTCTGGAGAGCATCCAGTTCAACATCCCCGCACACGCAGGCTCACCTAGTGCATGTGGCACAGGATTGTGTCCAAGCAGGTTTTAAATATCTCCAGAGAAGGAAAATAAGCTTTATTATTATTATTATTATTATTATTATTATTATTATTATTATTGCTATCAAGGTAAGGCATACTTTAAACCTTACTGCTAGTTGGTCAGGGTCATAAAAATAGATACTGGTCTAAACATGCTAATAATTTTTAATTTTAAGCAAAACAACGACAAAAATAAACCCAAAACTGATACTGTGCTGCCACTTAGAATCTTTGAAAGCAAAGATGTGTGGGGACTGGACGTTAAGTACAAATCATGACACGAATGTATTAGAACCCAATGAGCACCTGATGCAGTATTTACCAGCTTGTACCAGAAAGTTCTCATGGGACAGGTTGAGGGTTTAAAGGGCTCCTTTGAAAAGCGGGCAATTTCACATTTTCCATCAGTGTTCTTGGAAATTCCTTTGACTGCTTTCATGTAATCAACCTGCTGTCCAGTTTTGCTTTATGTTGTAAAAATAAAGGTGATGGTTGTAGGGCACGAGCTGTAGTAGCTTTGGGGCAGCACGTCACCTGAACCAGCAACTCCTGCTCTCTGAACTGCTCTTTCAGTTTGAATTCGAGTGCCGGGCTCGCGGTGCTGACATCTTGGCCTACCCKCCTGTTGTCGCTGGTGGCAATAGATCCAACACTTTGCACTATGTGAAGAACAACCAGCTCATCAAGGTAAGCCCTACGCTGTCCAGTAAGAAGCAGTACAGGGACATGCTCTCCCCTTATGTGTCTCGGAGCGGCTCCCTGTTTTGACTGAACACATCCAAACACTTTAGTGGATGCTTTCATGTGAGCAGGGGAAAGAAAGCCTGCCTTGCTTGGCTCTGTTGCCCCTGACAGTAGCTTGGCGGATTCCAGGCTTTTCCTTTCCCCTTTGCCCTTGCTGCTGTGGCTCCTGGAAGAGCGAGGAGCTCGCGAATACTCCGTTCAACYGGCGTGTGTGCCCAGGCTGAGGGTTCCCGCTCGCGCTGTGGCGCTGGGTGGATCGCAGGCCTTGCAGCCRCAGCGGGGCCTGCAGGCGCTCGGGGGCTTCTGCTCCGACCTGCTTTGCCGTGTGAGGTGCAGCAAGGCGCTCCTGCTCTGGCTGAGCTGAAAAGCCTGCCGGCTCCATGCAGCCTAGCAGAACAAGGAGGGAAAGGAACAGAAATGGGAAACGGGAAAGAAACAGAGGGACTATAATAGATTGTTGAGAGGCGAATTGGACAGCAGGTAAGTTAACACACCTGCCTTATATTCAGAAGGCTGTATTAATGATTTGAATCCACATTCAGTTTTCCTGACAAAAAAAAAAAAACCAATCTGCAGACATTCTGAGGAGCAGTGTTATGATACTGCTGAATTCATGATGTGCTTTTCAGTGGAGCGTGGTTTTTTTCCTCTGTGTTAATGCAGGGTGAAGCCTTCCCGCTAGCATTGTCTTTTCTTGATGCTAGCTTGCTAAGAGACCTTGAAATGAGCTGCACAGACGCACGTACAAAGGATATAACAGGCTGCTTTTGGCAGAAAGAAACCTCATTTGTTGTCCTGTCATCCAAGGTCAAGCATGCTCATGTAGCTCCAGTTGCTTCCATTAAAGTTGCACTAAATCACTCTTAATTTTTCAGAAACTGGTAGGTTGGAGGTTAAACTCACAAACTTGATTCTTGCCTTTTATTTTTTTCTTTGTGTGCTGCTTTGTGTGCTACAGGTTTTGTTGTCAACTAGCACAACAAAGTACCTAATTTGGAAGGTCTCTCTAAGACTTTGTTCTCCAGATTTTCAGTGGCAGTTGGTGTATTGTGTTTCTAAATGTGCGTAGTATCAAAGTGTTGAGTATTGGTATCGTTGTAGGGCTCCAACTCTGCTTGGGCCTGCTGAGGTCCGGCATCTTCTCTCAAGAGCTGAGGCAAAGCAACGTTCAGGCCCCCTCTACCCTTTTGGAGGAGTACAGGGTCTCGGGTGTAGCTTCTTGCAGTAGGAGTGAATTCATTCCAGGTGTGAATGAATGAGGCTACTGTTTCAGAGCCCTGAGTAACTCAAGGGAAATATCATCCTTTTTTTTTTCTTTTTTTTTCTTTCTGTTTTTTTTTGAGTAAATGTGTTTGAATGTCAGCACACTAGAGTTCAGACTTTCTAGATAATCAAAATAGTTGCAGACTGCCTTGCATTGAAACAATCCAACTGGACGGGCCTGTTTAACAGCCTGTTAAAACACTGTATTAAACAGTTGCACCTTGAGTGATGCTCTGCAAAAGGAACACGTGTCTCTGCAGTGCCTTTGTAAATATATATAAGAAGTTTATATAATCTTGTTGCCTCTTTGCAGACAGAGAAGTCTACTCGGTAGCTGCGCTGACCCTCAGGGTATTTTTTTTTTCTGTTCTTCTCCAGGATGGTGAACTGGTCTTGCTGGATGGTGGATGTGAGTCTTCGTGCTACGTAAGTGACATCACACGTACGTGGCCCATCAATGGAAGGTAGGTTGGCCCAAGGGGGTCTTCAAGGGCTCTGAGAAGCTCTTAAATGATTGGTGATTTTGTAAGAAGACTGAGCGTGTGTAGACTGTGTGTGTGAATAGTTTCAATATGTCCCAATCTATGGTTCTTGAAAGTAACCAAATTACATAAACCAGTCTTTGAGTAGGAGAAACTGTATTCCCTACTGCCTCATTAATTACTGCATGAGTACATGTGATTATTGCTATTTTAAGCTATTGAGGTATGCTTAAAGTGCAGAGAGGGCTCTTATGAGCCTTTATTCAGCTGTTGTTGACTCTGGTTTTGTGTAAGGGAGCGGGAGTTCGGCTGACCTACGTGACTGTGGCAGCTGTGAATAAGCTGGTATAACGTCCTTATGGTGGTGGGTTTGATTGCAGTGTTTTTGCTCAGGTCCATCCTTTTTCCAGTGATAGGTTTGTCCTGCTCTGCTTCAGGATGTTAGCCAAGTAATCTTGCCTCTACCCAGTGTATGGAAGGGCATGTTTCATTCCTGTCTTACCTGGCATACCTGGCATTTGACATAAGGAGACAGTTTTCTCTTTTCTTTCCCTGTTTCTGCATCAAACTGATGCCAAAAAAGCTTCTGGATAGAGGAGTTAGCTRTGAAAAATGCCCTTCGTTCCTCTTCTTGCTGTTTTTCAGATTCACTGAACCCCAAGCCGAACTATACCAGGCTGTCCTGGATATCCAGAAGTCTTGCCTGAGCCTCTGCTCCCCAGGCGTCAGTCTAGAGAATATCTACAGCCTCATGCTGAGCCTTGTTGGACAGAAACTGAAAGAGCTGGGAATCCTCAAGAGCAGCATCACTGACAGCCACTTCTTCAGGGTACTTGAAGCTTTTTTTAATCCAGCTTTCCTCACTGGGAGTGACTGTTGCCTATTTTTAGGTAGCACTAGGGTTTTACTTTATATCAGGAGTTTGCTGCAAAGTGAGTTTTCTAGTTGTACACATTTACTGTGCTTTAATTTGTACTGTGGACTGGTCTCAGCACAGAAGCTGGATTTCCTGTAGGTGAAGCTAAACTGGAAATTGCGTTCCAATCTAGTGGACATTCAGTCCACAAACTGGTCTGAGTAACCCCCTAAGTCCTGCATGGAGTGAGGATGCTGGTCCCTCACAACCTGCTCTTTGGCTCTGTAGATCCATTCCTATTAGCCTGTGCTACTTGTTATTGTAGATGGAGCTTCAGAACAGAGACAGCCTGAAGGGGAACATGCAGGGAAGCTGCCACTAATGCAACAGTCCAGGTCCTGGGCAGATTGCAGGCACTCAGTCCTAGCTGTGCAATCTGTTTAGCGTGGTATAAATCTGCCCTGTCACCAAAACGTACAGCCTTGTCTTCTGTCTTTCCCCCTGCTGCCTGCACTGTACTTCTTTGTGCCAGCATTGGGATTCACAGAGCTCCTTGCTGAACAGATTGGGGAACTGGTCTGCCTCAAAGCTGAGCCTGCAAATACAACAGTGCTAGTTTGCGGTTAGGGAGGTTGCTCTGGTCCCACTCACTGCAAACTTGTGTGATTGATGACAGCAGCACAGGAAGGATGGCAGGAACCAGGTGACAGAGCAGCAACCCTTTGGCAGCAGCACAGATTTCTGCGGATGCAGTTGCCCTGCAGCCCAGGCTGGAGCAGCAGCACGTGGCCCCGCGGGCCCACAGCCGCCGTTCTGGCCTGGCTCGGCAGGCGGCAGCACAGCCAGGGAGACCCGTGTCCGCAGTGCACTCCGCAGCGAACGCGGGGGCCTGGGGCCCTGCTGACAAGCTGCTCCTTTCCCACACCCTGCAGGGGGATTAGGGTGGTGCAAGGGAGTCAGGGGATTCAAATGCTGCAGCTTCTGAGTGAAATCAGTAGAACTTCCTCTCCGGAATGACAGGACAGCTCTTGGCCACATCGCATAGCAGCTGTGTCAGCTGCTGCTCTTTGTCACAAGCGGCTGATGGGAACAATGTGAGGCTGAGATGGTTAAGGGATGGAGAGGACTGAGGCAGCAAAGTTCAGTGAGCAAAAAGCTGAAGCCTTGCCTGTCAGGTTGAGGGACTGGTGTGCTTGAGCTGTTCTTTTCAGGAAGGGGTAAAGCTAATCTGTGATTGACTCAGAAGAGGGAGCTCGTGTGGCTGTTTTTCAGGGCCCTTCAGTTCTGGTAAATGGAAGGCAGCTCCTGGTGACCATGTGGTAATGACAGTGAGACTGCTAAGCATATTCCTCTATCTCTTCTATATTGGAAAAACAGGTTGGGCTGTGCTTGACTTCACCTCAGTGACTTGTTTTGTCTCCTGCCAGGCCGTTCGAAAGTACTGCCCGCACCATGTGGGCCATTACTTGGGCATGGATGTTCATGATACCCCGGATATATCCCGATCACTGCCCYTGCAGCCGGGCATGGTGATCACCATTGAACCAGGTAAAAAGAGATGTACTCAGAGCTGCACTGAAACATGCAATGCTAAGAGTAGCAGTGTCTCTTTAAGTAGTTGGCTGGTCCTGAGACCAAAACATTTGAGTCCTTATGAGATCAAAACTGATTACAGCATTAAAAAAGCCTTGAACTATCTCCCTCCCAAATGCATTACAGTATTGGAAAACATTATTACCCACCCAGACACTGCCAAGGTTACAGATTTTGAGAGTGAGCTCTCAAAAGGCTCCATGCCACACAAAGCAGACTGACGTACACATCTCGCTGCCAGCGCTTGACCTGCAGGAGCACAGGCCGACCGCAGTGCAGAGAAGCAGAGTAAATTCACTTGCACTGAGATCTGCATTACTGTGACTAAATTGCTACCAGTCACTGGTGGTGTAAGTCTCTGCTGAGTGCTGCAGTCTCCAATTATAGGCATTAACAACTTCTCTTTGCAAATTTGGCCTTTCACGATGAATCTTTCTTCCTGCTTGTCAGTCGCTTTGGAGCTGTCAGCTGGAAACTGATATTTAATCCTTGGATTTTCTCTCCTCCCATTCTGATAATTGTTAAAATCGTCTTTGTGAAGACAGCATTGAGAGCAAGAAGTGCAGAAAGGCCAGCTGCAATTGTGAAAGTTTTTATTAACATGCTAGTTCTGTACACACTGAGAGACTGTTTTTTGTGCACCAGCTGCCATGATTGCAGGGGGAGAGGGCAGCTTTCCTTGTTAACCTTCCTCTGGGCCAGTGTCTCTTCTTTTGCTGAAAATCCAACTCTGCTCTCGCGCAGTAAGGGAGAGGTGTTCCTCTGAGAGTGCTACAAGGGCTTTAATTGCTCCCCTTCTTTCAGGCCTCTACATCCCTGAGGATGATGCGAGTGCCCCAGCGAGGTTCCGCGGCATCGGCGTGCGCATTGAGGACGACGTCGTGATAACGGAGGACGCGCCCCTCGTCTTGTCTGCTGACTGCCCCAAGGAGCTCGAGCACATCGAGCACATCTGTGGCCGCAGCTCGTGACACCTCCGCTTGCCTCTCGCACCCACCTCAGGAGACGCGGCCCCCTCTGACCGACTCACTGTGACTGSTCAGGCTGTGGGTGCTGCCGACTGCTGGCTGCTGACTTGAAACTGTGGGGCTCAGGAGGGGTATGGAAATAGCTGAGGCAATGAGGACTGAAAAGCAAAGCAAGCCTTTGTATGAGCGACTTCGCTCTGGTTTGGTTAGGGCTGGTGCTGCGCTGCTGTAGAAGGTGGAGAGGGATTTGTTGCCCTTCTGTGTGGATCTACCTGCTTCGGTGCCCTCAGAGAGATGCGTTTTGTTGGTGCCACCAGCAGAGCCTAGACCCTCTACACATCTGTGGGTGCTGCTGCTGAGAGCCTGAGCCTTGTTGTGAACTCTTTAGCACTAGTTACACAGTGGTCAGATTTTAAAAGTGCAGCTTTGACAAAATGCTGTTTTTGACAAAGTTGTGCCAGATGCCTTTCGCCTYTACAGGACTTTGGGAGGAGGGCATTTGACAGGAAGATGGGTCCCAAAGGGAGTGAGTTTAACTGAAGTCTGTGTAGAAAAGATTTGAGGCATTCTGAGCGTGAACGTGTCTTTGGGCCTTGTTCAAGCTGGTGCCCAATAGTGCAACAGCAGGGGATAAAAAAGCCTCATCTGGTCTTCCAGCATATTGGAGGGCTTGGTAATTGCAGAAGAGACTGATAGAGCTCAGGAGGACACAGCCATTCTCTGCCTTCCACATCCCTTCATTTTGTCCCAAATCTCTGTTGTGGTCTCCTGCTCTGAGCCCCCCTCTCCTGTGGGAAGCAGGGCCCTGCTCGCTACACTGGGCTTCCTTGGGGAGCTCCTGGTTGTTGCCTGCACCTGAGTTGTCCCAGAAGGGCCCAACACCTTTCTGCTTTTCCCGTAGCTGCCCATAGGTTGATCCGTGCTTTGCTGACGAGCTTGCGGTGTGGTGAGTTGGAGGTCTTTGTATGGCTTTTGTGGAGTAGTTTTCCTTTCCAGAAGGCTGCGGTCATGAGCACAGCTGCCTTTCGGGCTGTGCCAAGTGCAGGCAGTAACTAATGCTCTGTGATAATATTTTTGAGGAAGCTGCAAATATAATTAGTGGCTGGTATGGATAGGAGCAGAGCTGGGTCCCAACAAACAGCAGCCTGCCACCCAAGCCATTGTATGCAGAGGTGCATATACTTTCTAGGTCAAATATGWTCAAATATGATGAATACTGTGAGGGTATTTTGATAATTTTTATTTTAACACTTGAAAAAACAATGCCTCTAAATAGTGCCCCTCCTGTTATTTATGCTTGCTTTTGCTTCTTATCTGTTTTTCCTCTCCAATTGCAAGTTCCAGGTTTATTCTCAGTTATTGCTGTTTTTTTTTTTTTTCTTATTACTACCTATGTTGTCCATTTTTGGTCCACCATTAGGTCAGTGCTTCCTGATCCCTGATCTTCTTGCTGGTCAGTGTCCTTTCCTCTCCCCATCTACTCCAGTCCCTCGCGGTGGATGTTGTCAGACCACACGGACAAGGTAGTCAGAGTTCCCAAGTTCCCACTCCTGGCTCTGGTGCCGACTCTGTAACCTCCAGCAAAATCTGATTTTCCKATTTTAATTTTTTTACTCAGACATACGCTGCACTCTGGGTGTCATGCATCTCCCATGGTTTTTAATGGGAGATAGATGCATGTACCAGGGTGTGAATTTGGCACTTGAAAGGCAGCCAAGACATGCTAATATTTTTTTTTAAGCATAATAAACATTAAATGCTTTTACAGAGTTTAATGTATCGGTTTGTGCGTGACTAAGAGAATCTGCTCTTTTTTTGATGGAAGTCTTTGTTAGATGTTCATGTGTTACGGTGCCAAGTACAGCGTAAACTTGGAAGGAAGGCTCWTTAAGTATGAACACCCAGAAACGATTATTTTTGATGTTTTTTGAGTCTGTAGCACATTGTTGTTCCAGTTACAAATACTAGAGCCATATCAGCAAGAATAATTTGGGTTTTGGATCTATGTGAGGAGCTTAAATATTGTTATCCTGAGAGCTACATGTTTGTGCTGAACTGGCTATCTCCCTCTGTACCTAATTGCAGAAGTAATGATTGTACTTACTGTAAATAAGCCTTTGAAGTACATACAGAAAATTATTTTTTGAAATAAAACAATTCGTAGAAAGTCATTTCTTGGGCCATCAAATTGCATGTCTGTTAAACRGAAGCACTTTGAGAAGAGCATTATTTTTCAGGGAGATTTATAAATTATGTGTAATTTATTTTTGTCTTGAAATCRCATTATGAAATGCAGGCACACACTGATTACTGATCACTCAGGAAAGCTGCAACATGCAAACATTAATAGATCTTAGGAATGTTGAGGGTGAATGTTTCTGTCAGGAAAAAAAATATATGTGATTTTGCTGAGGGAGGAGTAGTGATCTGCTAGGGCTGCTGTGTCCTCCATACCATTCAGTGTGTCCAGTTTAGGCTTGGAAGTGCTCCATATTCTGTATTTCTTCCACAGCATCTAGCCACTTCTTCAACATAACCCCACTAATGTTTTGAATGTGTTGTTCCATGAAAAGAGTGCATTTTGCAGAACATTTTGAGTTTTATCAACTTGAAATATTTGAAGGCTTTTTCTCAGTTGTTGCAGGCGGAAAATCAGAGCACCATCTGGGACCTTTACAGATGTCACAGTGTCCCTTGAGTATAATCCAGTTCATTAATATTTTACATGTTCTTCCTGAAGAAAGTGCAAAGAAYCCCTTCTCCAGCTGCCCACAACAGCAATGTACCCCTCCAGTCAGCAGTGCTGGGCTGCCAGGTTTGCCAGATAATTTTTCCACTGAACATATACCTTGCTGCAACCACTTGGGTGCAGGAGTGGCTCTCACTGGCCACACAAGTTGTCAGCTGCCTGGGAGGATCCCTGGAAGTGAATCCACTTCCTGCTCCTAGCTCTGGGATCCAGTCCTTACCTTCATTTTTGGGAGCGTGAGTATGTAAAACCGTAAGGCCTCTCTTCCTGGGCCTTGCTGGTTCAAAGGGAATGGAGGTACATGGAAGCACTTATGAGGAAAGATTTTGTAGGAACTGTGGCACAATTCTTTGGAGAATTGGCATACGAGACAAAATGTTCCTATGAAAGCCAGCCAGCCCTACCAAGAAACAACTTGGTGGACAAAGGAAGCCTGGCAGGCCCCTCTTCCCCATTTTCCAGTCCGTCAGACCACCTGCTCTGGTCGCAGGGGACTTGCTGAAGCACAGTCTGAGCAGAGGTGCTGATTTGTAGCTATGCTTCCAATGTCAAAGTTGAATCTGGCATTTAACACAATCTGGCATTCAATCTCTGTTACCTGTGAAAAATACAATTTCAGAAAAGACATCTGAAGTGTTATCAAGTAATTTGTCAAGGAAATCTGATGGTTTGGGAAGGATGGGCAAATTGAGGGACCATTCAGAAAAGAAGGGAGATGAAGAAATCTGCAAGGTACAATGCAAGATTCATGAGAAAGAATTTGGAAGTGTGGGAATGTGTGCAGGTGGATAGGAGAGCMAGGAGAGAACAACAAGGTATAGAAAGGCTGTTCAGTCTGTTGTCAGGGTGGTGCAATAGCTTTAAAACTAGTTTTGCTGGSCAGGAGATCCTGATTGATTTGTCCTACTTGAGAAGGGGAACAAAGGAGGCAGATTGTATTGATGAATTTGGTCCTAACAGTTTAATTATTTTTTCAAAAATCAATAGAATTATCATATGAGAAAATCTTCTTTTTTGCAGTTTTATGTTATTGATCATGTGTCAGATTTTAAGTAATGAGAAGGAGAAAAAGTACATTTCTAGACAAAACCTTCATTATGATGGAGGGAGCAAGGCTGACGTTACATACTCTTACGGTACCCAAATTACTGCTAYGGAAATTCAGTAATTACTCCCAAGAGAATTATTATAAAGCAAAAAGAGTTGAGGTTAAACTTAGAAAAAAATCCRTAAGAGATAAATGACCAAAATGTTTTAATCATGTTAATACTTTGTGTAATTGGATAACAAAACTCTGCACTGCAATAAATTGCTTTTTTTTGATCTCTTTTAAACTGAGTTGCCTAAAAGCCTGTAGAGGCATCTTTTCATTAGCATGCAGATCTAAGCCTTTAAATTTATGTTTCTGAGGTCATTTCAACATCTCTGTTATGTATGCTACGTACATCTGTGCTTAGCTTCAGCTTGATTAGAAATCATAGCTTGGGCACTGTCACGGGACTGGCTCTAGCAGTGCCTCTGGCTTATAAGATTCATTTTCTTTCAGAGGTGTAACAGTATTTAACTTTAAAGCAGAATTTTTAAGAGAAATTGATAGCAAGGGACGGGCTCAGTGATACTCAGTTTCTCCCCTCAACTCACTTGGCCTTCTCAGGATTTGTCCTCTCTTAACTGGTTGCAGCTCTGAGCCTTGCAGGTCTGCTGGTATTACCTGTGTTCACTGACTCCAACCACACGGCTCTCTGTTTAACTGCCATGACAGGACTGGCCTTTAACAAAGACAAGGAAGGAATTTCTGTCTGGGTAAGCCTGACGCTGGCATCTGAGCAAGGAAAAAGTAAATAAGGAAGTTGGTAGTAGACCCTAGAAGGAGAACATTACTGTATCGCTGTTTGRCCAGCGATAGGACGAGGGGTAATGGCCACAAGCTGGAGCACAGGAAGTTCCGTCTCCAGGTGAGGAGCAACTTCTTTACTGTKAGGGTGACAGAGCAGTGGAACAGGCTGCCCAGGGAGGTTGTGGAGTCTCCTACTYTGGAGGTCTTCAAAACTCACCTGGATGCCGCCCTGTGCCACATGCTCTGGGTGTGCCTGCWTGAGCAGGAGGGTTGGACTAGATGATCTCTAGAGGTCCCTTCCAACCTTAAGTATTCTGTGATTCTGTAGGGTTCAAAACGTTCTTTTTATTGGACATTGAGGAAACAAGTTGGTGTTGGACAAGTGATGTTCTAGCTTGGTTTGGGAGCTGCTTGGGAATGTTGATGTCAGACACACTGTGGTGGGACAGAGCTGCCTGACAACAGTTGGAACTCCGTGGTGGTTCCTTACACTGCAGGTGATGAGGAACAAAGGGCTTTGTAAAGGGATCTCTTTTCATGATCCAAGAGAAGAATCACTGCAGCAGAGGCTGGGAATGCCCAGCCCAGGATTTCATGGTCAGACTCAAGRTGAAGTTGAAGTAAACTGTGCCCGTTCGAGGGAGAGACTCTGTGCCCTGGGCCGAGCTAGTCCTCTGCCTCCGTGCGCTTTTGCCAGAGGAACGCAAAATGGGACCAGCCCCTGATCCAAGTTAAGATTACGCAGCCTTAGCCTCCCAGTAGGAAATAGTGGATCTCATGGAACTTCTTACCATGTGAGTCCTCTACTCAGAGAGGAGGCATGGGGACAGCACGCTTCGCTTTTCCAGGCTAACGAATGCACAAAGTGGTTGTTTTTAATGGGTTTCTAAGCTTTGTCAGTATGTGCCTCATGGCAGACAATGAAMACGGGTGGTTTTGATGCTACCAATGAATACCCTTTCTTACCTCCACTTGACAGACTGTGGTCATTGCTTTTTAGTAGCCTTAACAAATTTTRTTATTTTTGTTGGCTTCCCTATGCTGTTGCCATAGTGTGTCCTCAGGATCCCATCGTGCTCCRGTAACTACTTTGTACCACTGTGTCCTCAATAGGCCACAGTGACCAGGTCACGTATGACCTGGATGAAGGGATGGAGTGCTCCCTCAACAAGCTTGATGATGATATGAAACTGGGAGGAGGAGCTGATACCCTAGAGGGCTGCGCTGCCATCCAGAGGGACCTGGATGGACTGGACACCTGGGCAGTGAGAAACCTCATGAAGTTCAACAAGACMACGTGCAGGGTCATGCACCTGCGAAGGAATAAGCCTGGATACCTGAAAAGGCTGGGGACTGACCTTCTGGAGAGCAGCCGTGCAGAGAGGGACCTCAGCATCGTGGTGGATGACAAGATGACCATGAGACAGCAGTGCCCTGGTGGCCAAGACAGCCAATGGGATCCTGGGGTGCATTAAGAAGAGTGTCTCCAGCAGGTCGAGGGAGGTGATTGTCCCCCTATACACAGCCCTGGTGAGGCCACATCTGGAGACTGTGTCCAGTTCTGGGCTCCCCAGTACAAGAGGGATGTGGAGCTGCTGGAGAGAGTCCAGYGCAGGGCTACGAGGATGATCAGGGGCCTGGAACATCTGCCCTATGAGCAAAGGCTGAGRGAGCTGGGCCTGTTCAGCCTGGAGAAGAGAAGGCTGAGGGGGGACCTGATCAGTGTCTATAAATACCTCAAGGGAGGCAGTGAGGAGGAGGGGGCGGCCTCTTCTGAGTGGTGGCCACTGATAGAACTAGAGGAAATGGCCACAAACTGAAGCATCAAAAGTTCCACAGGAAATTAAGGAAAAAAAATCCTAACAGTGAGGGAAACAGAGCCCTGGRACAGGCTGCCCAGAGAGCTTGTGGAGTCTCCTTCTCTGGAGATCTTCAAAACCTGCTTGGATGCAGCCCTGTGCCACGTGCTCTGGGTGTCCCTGCGTGTGCAGGGGGTTGGACTAGGTGATTTCTAGAGATCTCTTCCAACCTTAACCATTCTGTGATTCTGTTGGACACAGGTTAATGTAGCTGGGATTAAAAGAGTTTCCACCACGGGACTGAAACCGCTGTGGGGTCAGGTCTGGTTGCCTCGTCCTGCTCTGTGTGTGTCCTCTCAGCCCAGTTGTGYCCATCTTGTCTATGGAGTCAAGAGAGACTCAACCCTACGGAGAGCACTGAAGCGTCCAGTCCTTTCATTCCCAGGCAGTTGTGCCCTATTGCAGAGACCTGAAATCTCCAACTCCTTCTCCTCAGGACTTGTAAAGAAACTAGTTTRCGGCCAGAAAAGAGTCGCTTGTCGCACTGACCTGCTGCTTGTCAGACCCATGAGGTGCTGCTGAGGCTCCTGTGATGCACTGCGCCTATCTGGGATGTACATGGCTTTCCAGTTTAGGCTTTCCCCCCTTCTTTTCTCAGGAGATGGGCTTTGTAACAGCTACARGGGGGTTACTGTGGCGACTGTAACCAGGCAGAAGCGTACAGTTCGTATGGAGAGAGTCTGCGCTGGTGGACTCGGATATGATTAAAAACGTTTTAAAGGCACACTCTACTTTTTTTCTGCCTTCCCTTGCAGAACAGAGAAAGCTTTCTAAAAAGCCTTCCATTAAAAAGAATAACCTGGAAATGTATCACTCATCTTCTATGATCCTATGATCTTCAAGAGCATGGGTGTTTTAATATACATATATATATATATATAAATACATATATATATTATGCACACAAATCTTGTGACTTATGTGGCTAGTTAGAAATTGTTCACATGCTTTGACTCTGCATTTCCTTATTCTTTATTTGGATCTTTCRCTAAGCTTAATCCTAACTCTGAAAGTCTCGGGTGTGTATTTGAAGGRTTTGGGATAATTAAGCTGTCTCTCTGCTGCATTTCACTGCGATGTAACCTTTCCTGTGCCTCCATCTTAAGGTTCTTCTTCTGTTGTATGTCACTTTGCTGCCGTATAAGGTGTTTGAGGAGACTGTTCTGTGAATCTCTCCTGCTCGCTGCCTGTCCGGAAAGGTGAGAATTTGCTGTCTGAAAGATGTGATCATTACGCTGGAAAACTCTGAAACTGTTCATGGCTTCATGTAATGTGACTTATGAAGCCAAATTTATTATTCTAGCTTAACTTCTTAAAAAATAATAATTGCAACTATTAGATATAAAGCTGTTAATTTCTTCTGGTGTGCAACTCTCTCTTCCAAATTTCAGTGGATGTTCACAATGTATTAGAAACCTGATAGTCTCTTCTTCCAAGCTCATTTAAGACAAGAAATGCACCGAATGCTACGTTTCCCAAGGAATCCATTTTTAATGATTCATAAGCTAATAAAGACCAGGCTTGAAAATCCCCGAGAACATCTCCTGTCTTCAGTTAACAGATTCACACAACTCGAGGGGAGGAGGCACCCTTTGATCCTGTGGTTTGAGCACCTGCCTGAAAGAGCCATTGCATTTTACCTACCTAATTTAGCACTGAAGCCAGTACTTGCATGTGACAGCCACAGATCCCCCAGTAAGGCCTCGAGCCTTGATCTGAACGCTGGGGGAGAGGGAGGGAAGAGATGGAGACTTGCTTGTTTCTGTAATTCGCTCTGTTAATCACCCCTATTGTTAAAACTGTGTCCCCCTTCTTCCTCCTGAATAGTCTTTATAAGGAGGATAAGGAAAAAAATATTTCTGTGCTGAAGAGGGTTCAGTTTGGCCTTGGCAGTGGCAGTGTGGTTGTATTTCTATTAAAAATAAAWGCCTGTAACCCTGACCTTCATCTCCTTTTTAATCACTTTTGTTGGTGCTAAAAGAGCAAGTGCTTCTAGTGGTTGTTTTTACTTCACTTAAAAACTAAATCTAATACAAAAAAAAAAATAAAAATAAAAAAGAGCTTTGTTGATTCACCTGATGATACAGAAGCAGAAACCCCAGAGCTGCACAGTGGGACCCTTCCCAGGAGGCAAACCCAGAAGGACAAAAACCAGGGAGAAGAGGAAGCGAAGGAGCAGTGAAGACATGTAGCTACTGCATGACATTCCTGGGGCAGAAAAAAATGGCTGCACGAAAAATAACCAAACAACAAATCATGTCCTCCAGTAAACAGTGCCATCCCCTTTCTATTCTTTTCCCTTGTACTTACCATAATCTTTGTGCATTATAAAACCAATAAATGTGAACTTGCAGGACTGGCTGCAAAGAGGCTCTGCTAGGAGCTTGATCCGCTCAAATCTGCTCCTCTTTGTGCCATCAGGAGTTTGTTCCAGTAAAAGAGCAAGCAGTTGTGTGGGACACAAGCACCACGCAGGCCTGGGCTCCAGCTCCCATCTCACTGGATAAATTTGCACTGATCCAGCTAACATAGCTAGGAAGAATCRTACCGCGGCATGAGCTGTTCTCATCCTGTTACCTGTTTTTTTCAGCACGTGCCCATTTTCATTTGGAAAGCTGCCACAAGATATGGATGCTGTTGACCAAGGGCAGTTAAAAGGAGGAATGACCTCTTATGGTCATTCCTCCTTGCAGGAATTAATCCAAGAGAAGTGACCATACRGCACAGCAATTGCAAGCTGAGCCACACACTGCTGCTTCAGAAATTGTCATGATTTTCTGTGCCTTTCCAAGTCGGTCATACAGTTATTTTGCTCTTAGTTCATTACAAGTTTTGCCTGGTTCAGACTCTTCCATTCAGTCTCTCTACTTGGGCCACAGAGGGTAATTTCATTTTATCTGGTGGCAGCAGGACTGAGAATGCCCTTAAGCTGCCTCAGGAAGTTTTGAGATGTCAGCAGTGCCAAGGAACAGCAATTTGTGTCATCTCTATTATATGTATTCTGCAAAAAAGAAGCATTCTTGAAATATACACTTGTTGCAGATGTCACATCCTCTTCTCCCGACCTCTAAATTGTTACAAAATTTAGAAGATGAAAACCACTTTTCGACTATAAAAACCTGAGCAAGGCTGAGGTGGATTGCTTATTTCTAGCTTTTGTATCCAAAGAGCACATTGATAAAAATAAACAAAATTATAAGTAGGACATTAACCAATTTAGAAACATTATCAATAAAAAAAAAATTTTACAGTCATTTAACAGATAAAAGTTTTTTAAATACCCCTTTTGATGGTCCCAGGTGTCACTACCAAGTAAAACACTGAGATAAGACTAGCGTTAAAGTGGCACGTTCCAGTTTCTGACTTGAAATATGATTTCTGTTCCATACACTACTACATGTCCTACCCTCAGCTGATCATCATAAAAAGRCCAACTGAGGCATTGCTGAGCTTATGGAAACGTGAGCAAGTGTTTCCCCTGTTATCCCAGCAATGTTTTAGTTGTTGGGATAGGACCTTAGCTTCTATGAATTCCAGTCTTGATGGAAGTGCCTGATGTTCTCTGTCATATCCTAATCTGTATGTGAAACATGAAATATTAATGCTGCATTCAAATTATGGGGGGGTGGGGTGGGGAACTCCTCCCAGCTGATGTGGCCACTCCTGCGATTGCAGGCCTGATCTCCCTGTGGCTGCAGTGTATTAACCAGGAATAGCAAGACTATAARCTATAGGAGCTCACATAGGGGACTAGAAAGAAACTCCTTTTTCGTGTGCAAGAAGGGTCTCTTCACGCAGATTCTTGTCCTAACATGAACAGCAAAAGCCACAATCCTTCTCTTAATTAAAATACCCAGTGTTATAATAAAAGGCTGTTTTCCTCACTTATTTTGCAATTTTAGTGTCAAAATAAATGAGGACAATGGTTTTAGCCTGATGCACACATTGTTCATGGAGAAACACTTCATCTAGCCATTACTTTGTCAGTTTGTGTCTTACTGGAAGAAAAAAAGGCATGAAAGATTTGACCCTTAACTGCTTTCCAGCAGTTTTCTGTGCATTATAACAACCAATCAAAAGACACTGAGTGGCCTCTTTTTCACTTTTTCACTCTTTTTCACATTTTTTACCTTCAGAGAATGCAAAAAGCAGCGTGCACATACATGTTACACCAGGGGCACCTAGTCTCATCAGTGCAATGTGAATGAACCACGACTTTTCAATATACTCTTACAAGCAGCTGTGCAAAAGTAAGATAAATACTGTTATTCACAGCCAATTTAAAGTACCTCTTTAGTGGAAGGCGGGATGGGAGGCTAGCACATGCAGCCTGTAGCACAGCCATAAATGTTTGGAGAATGGAAAGGCAATTGTGGCACTCACCTCTGGTCGTGTTGCAGTGATGTGGTTAAACTACGAGGCATTTACGCTAGGTGGGATGCAGGATTTGCCTTGAGCTCAGAAAAAGCTGTGAATCAGGAACRGAGAACAAAATGTACATTTGGATACAACTGTTATTCCTGGAAGTAGTGATATAGTTTTTGACTTGCAGAGATTTTTTTTACAGAATTTGCTAGTGTTACATTAGCATTTCATAGGCTGCTCATGTAACTCTTGAGCTTTCACAGCTCTCCGTATTAGATTTTTAATATGACATAGTTCATTTCAGCTTCTTTTTTTTTCTTTTGCTGTTTAGTTTAGGTTCATTCTTTATGTGGCTTCTCAGCTGCAAGGAATGTGCTCTACACTTGCCTCAAACTTTTCTTGTCTGTGTCTGAAACCACTTCTTTCCTGCATATTGTAGCACTTTCTAAGAGGCAGACTTGCCTGTGTTCCCCATACAGATCAATTAGTCTGCATAGCAARCCCAGACCTCATATTGCAGATGGAAATAGAGAAGTATTAGATAGTAACTGGGAATCCTTTGTCTCTGCACCATATTTTGATTGCACTATAGGTATGAAAGTTCATAGGTGAATTGCCTAAATAAGTCATTCTTAGCAAATAATGCCTCTCATTCAAGGGACACATGCAAACAATTCCCAGCCAAATGTTACTGGTTTCTCAGTTCATGTGTTTTAAATTCTTTTTTTTTTTTTTTTCTCTTACATTATCACAGTATCAGTCTTCTCTTTTGGGGCACCTGAAATTGTTTAAAGCAACATATGGTTTCTCACTCTTCAGAAGAAAAAGGGCATTTCTAACTCGGGTGAGGAAAAATATAATTTAAATAAAAGTATAATATATCTTGGATAGTATTTTTCTGTTTATTACAGCAGCTTTACTCAATAAAGAGAGAATTTTCTATATGAAAAGATCTTTATAGATCTTAATAGTTATTCTAGATAAATTTGCATGGAAAACTCAGATAGATATTAAAAAGCTGATGCATGAGATGCTGAAAAGTGCAAAGCTTACATTTTCATGACTCTTGTGAAGAAAGCATATTCTTTCTTGTGCATCAATGTATCTCATCAAAATTCCTGAGAAGGTGGCCAGCTATACATAGTAAATATTTCACATACCACTATAGTGATTTCTCTGCAATTTAAGCACTCAGCACAAATGAGATTTGATTTATGGTGAATATCTGCACCTGTTAAATAGTGGAATAATCTCCTGACATAAGTGATACTTTCATGAAGTTATTTATCCAAATTTTTAAAAGCTTCTACATAAGGAGATAATAGTCTTTTGAAGATCATAATTTCAAATATATCCCCAGGTTTGGATTTTCAACTTCCACACTGAAAGGGACTGCATATAATTTTGAGCTAAAATATATAGTGGGTTAAGATAAACACCATCAGGGGAAGGCATAATCTGTGCCTATTACCGAATTAGGAATTTGTTTTGTATACCTAATGATAAAATCAATAAATGGTTCCATCAGAGGAAAGTTCCATCAACCTCTATCTTTCTAGCATTCGATCAAGAGATTGAATTTGCCAGCTTTGAGGAGGAGAAATGTTTCTCCATCTTTTGGCAATCCATATTACACTAATTCAAACAGCTTCTTTACACAGAGCTGCAGCAGTTTACTCAAGCGTTGCTTTCAATATCGTTTCATTACATCAATGCAAAAGGTTGTGTTGACCTTTTAAATATATATTTAAATCTGATCAGTGGAGCTTAAATCGATTAGGAACTGATTTTAAGCCAACTCTTAAGGCAAATAAGTGTGTCTACACAGGGTTCCTCAGCTGTTCAAAGAGTTGATGTAAAATCCAATTTAAATTAAGCTGCTGCTAACAAACCATTGTTGGGCTGTACASAAGTCCCAAATGGGCCTGGGAAGTTCTCCGAGAACTTTCCTTTTAATTTCATCAGAAAACTCGGGAAAGATAGAATTAATTGAGTGAAATCCGTTCATCTTGGTCAGGAAAGGAAGACTCACTACAAACTTCTGAAAGAAAATTCCCAGTAAACACAGAGCATTTAGCTGAAAACCGGGTAT